GTTTAAGGAACCCTAACCCCAACCCTAGACCCAAAACAGCATTCTTGACAAACAAGATAGACCCCGACGCAGACTCCGACCCGACGTTTTACTGATACCCCTTCACCGGCGAAAAATGTCTGCGCATGCTCTACTAAAAATGACACGTGATCTATTTCGCGCAATGTCATTGGCTCTGAGGCAAAAATGCCGGTTGAGATGAAAAAAATAATGGCTGTTTTTTTGACAGTGATAGCGTTGTGGTTTTCTTGCCATAGTAAGAGATCAAAAAACATTTTGGTGAAAGTTTTGAGTGGAATGTTTTCTCTAGAAAATGTAGCGCCTTGGAAACGGCGGACAAACCCAGTGGTGGGTATTTGTCGGAGATATTGGCTTTGCAATCGCCGGCATGGGTGCGAAAGGCATGCCAAAAAGGTGGGTAATTTTGACTTTCTATGCTNAACTCATATTAAGCCGCAATTTCACTTCTTTCCACTGGAATAAACAAACGATGGATGTATTGCCGCCATTTTGAATTTGGCAATGTCACGTGGTCGCGCGTCGACCAATCAGACAATTTTCGCCGGTGAACTGATACCCCAACTATTAAACTCTTATTAATCAACCACATTTTTGTGTTTTGACTCTCTCATACACGTAGCACCACAATTCTTTAGAAACTAATCACTTCATTCTTTTGGTTGTCAGCTTGTTCAAAACACTGTTTTGACTAAGATTCTCAAGAGTCGAATATAGTCGCCTGGGCCCGGTTGCATAAGACCTACACTTAAGTGCCCACTTAAGTAGGTCAGGGTTAGGGTTGACACTAACACTTACGAATCCGTTATGGGTACACTTACGGGTGTTGCATGGAACGCACTTAGCACTCTCGTAAGTTTCTGTTTTACGTGGTAACTTGCGGGCTCACGTAACCTAGCCTGTTCCAAGCGTTCAGATAGTGGGGAGCGGTGCGAACTAAAAAGGAGCGCGAAAAAATTCTCCCCAGTCCCCCTCTACTTTTTATCGCTTTCTTTACTTCGCACGGCTCTCCACTATCTGAACGCTTGGAACAGGCTACACGCAACCTTGATATGGTACTTTATTAATAATTCACTCTTTTTTTTCAGCTAACCATCGGTGAGTGTAAAGAAAGTTAAAGTCGTTTCGAACACTTTTAAGCCTCTCGAAAAATGAAATTTGCATGCAAACGTTATTTTTCTTTAATATCTACTGAAAATGATAGTTCTTCTTTTTTCACAAAGTCGGCTTTTTATTGTACATCAGAGGTTAACAAAGCCCATTAGAACGAGTTACGTGAAGAAAAATGCTTTTTTTCACTTCTCAGTAAAAGATCTCGTTAACTTTAGTAAAAGAAGTAACGATACGGGACCTACATGGGTCCCGTAGATTTACGTGCTATTTTTCCCGTAAAAAAAGTTTTATGCAACACCCGCAATTTCGGTTGCATAAACGACACTTAAGTGAACACTTATGAAAATCGTAAGTGCAACCAGTTAAGTGATTTAATGCAACTCACTTAAGTTACGAGTGCACATACGTATACCTGTAGTTGTTACGGGCGTTTTATGCAACCTGGGACCCGTTTCTCGAAAGTCCCGGTAACTTTTCGGGCTCGAAATCAAATTTTCAAATCGAAATATAAAGAATAAGAGCGCGGGTCCTGGCTAGCAGACTACTCCATTTTGTTTCATTAACTGGTAGTCTTATCATGTTGGATGCAAAACTATTGAAACCTCTATCTTGCATGTAGACCAAAACAGCTTTACGGGCCCGTTAATTATCGGCACCTTCGAGAAACGAGCCCTGAATTCCAGCCTGTGGCCCTGAGTCGCACTTCTCGAGAGATCAGAAGTCGTCTCTCGATCCCTGCTAGAAGCGTAAATGTCTCGAATTTAGCTCGAATTTACTGAGAAGCTTCTGCTTTGCCATGTAATATCCCAGTAGTCCGTAAAGCATGCAAAAAATAAGACCATCCTTCATCAAGGATTAAAGACGTCCACGAGTGACGCAGCATCTGCAACAATATATAATACAAGGGTGGCCCGTCTGATCTACTGCTGTCATGAATTGGAAAACGTGGCTCAGCTAATGTAAGACGCTTGCGAACTGTTTAGGAATATGAAATGACTGCAATAAACTTTCAGTGTTCAAGCAATTTATGCAAGTTCCTTTTGCCCCAGAAAAAAAACTCAAGCAGAAAGAGTGTCAACGAAAGTGTCGACTTGTTACATTTCAATCATCGTCTGAGTAGAATGAACACACACGTATAATTCCTTTTTCTTACTGATCTCCTTGAAACGGTGGTATTGGATTGCTCGTCATCTTCCCCAATGCATTCCCTTGCTTCGTAGATGGAGATTGAACCGGTTAACATGGACAATGATAGCGGATTCATTAGTAATAGAGACATTTTTGAATGCAAAGATGATCATCGCAGGTAATTAGGCAACTATGCAGTTGCCAATAGAAAGCCTAAAAAATATTCAGGCTTTTTATTTCTTCATTCCTCAGTTCCAAAATATGAAATTCATATATTCATCACTTCAGAGAAAGTCTTGTTCCAGGTGTTGTTCATACATTTCGATCATCTGGTTATTCAAAACTATCTTTCGCCACGTATGTCATTGACACCGATTTCTTCCGCAAAGTACCTACCGGTATCCTTCTTTGTTGACATGCATGTTTCGTACTGTTACATGTTTCGTTTTTGTACTGTCTCAGCTGTGGAAAGCTTTGTCCGTTGTAATTCTACAGTCTCTCATTTCTTGCACCTGCATAATAGCTTGAGCATCAGGCCTTCCTTAGGGATTAGTGAAGAGGAGTTTTTGTCTCTTTTCGCTACTGTCGTCTCCCTTCCCCCCCTGCAGAAACGCCTGATACTCAGGTTAGCACTTGGACGTGGGTTAGCTCTATTGGTGAGGGTAGGGGCATCGTCGGTAAGTCTGCCTTCAGAACGCACTCTTAAATAGTGACATTTTCTACTTGTTGAGTAACAAAATGTTTGTCCTGCCTATTTTTACGATGTGTTGCTTTCATGTAACCGACAAAATCAAATTGAAGCTGCAGCGCCATTTAACAAATCGACAACAATTTTCTTATCGACCATAGGAATGACGTCAAAATGTTCAAAACTCAAGTCAGGGAACCACGAGCTGTAATGTTTTGAGAGGATTGACGGTTTTGACATTCACGAAAAATCGCGCCTTCAAGAAATTTCAAGAAAGAGGAAAACATATTGCACCATCGGCACGTCATTCTATGGTCTGATCTCTTATCGACCATAGCTCTCTACCAATCAACACGCCAGGAATCGCTCAGTTATTGTAAAAATCCCTATTGGTTCTGCTTTCGACTCTGACAATCTAGTTTCACTAGATTATAAGCGGCGGAGTCATAGGCAGCATCGAAAGAAAATGTAATTGTTCTGATTTCTCTGGTCGCGCTTATTTTTTCACTTGATCAATTAAAGCGCTCTTACAAACTCAGATTACGAATCCGAATCTGACTCCTTGGCAAGTGAAAACCAGCTTTTAACGACATGAAGACAGAGTCAAATATCGCACTGCAGTAACCTTTTAGATCTTAATCCCCAAAACTGCTTTATGTTCCCCTGTTCCGAAAGGTTTTTTTTGTTGTTGCTCCCCTGTTTAAATTCCCCAGGTTAAATTCGCTATCTTCCCTAAAACCCCTGGGAGACCCTCCTTAATGTCCTCAATGTGATCTCCCGGCCTGCTCCTGGCCTTCATTTTGTGTGGCCGTGATAGCTACGAGCTCTCTTGGCGTGGCGTGGCGTGCCACACTACTTGACTGTTGTTATTAGCGTCTCTCTTGTAATATTGGAATTGGTGTCCGGCTCAAATTGAAAGGAGACCAAGAAGAGAAGGAGAATGAGGAAAAACACGCGCTTTTCGTTCTCTGCATCTTCAGCATGCATGTTTCTCAGCGTGATAATTAATGTTCCCACGGTTCAAATTCTCATCTTTTTGAGAGTTACAGAAACTTTAATTTTTCCTATGCAAGTTTCCAAAAGTCACCTGCAATGGAGACGTGAATGAGATGGCCTTCAATCCCCGCCACTTGCAGCCCATTGGCCCCTGACCTGGTTCCGGCCGAGGGATCGGAGCCGTTACTCCCTCGTGAGTAGGACCAAAGGGTATTGTTTTTAACCCCGTTTGTCTCAAATTGGGTTTAGATTTTGGCCTTTTGAAACTTAAATAGAATAAGGTTCTGCTGTCTCTGGAATCATGATCTAGAAAAAGGTACGGTTTTTGTTGTTGTCGTTGTTTGTTTGTTTTGTTTTGTTCTTTAATTTTGGAATAGGTTTGAAACAGGGAAGGGAAAATCACACACCCTTTGGCCTGAAATTGGGTACGGCTTTAGGATGCTTGCCGTACACGCCCCCAAATTTTCCAGGAATATTCTCGCCGACCCTGGTTTAAAGAAGATCACTCTTTCAGAGTTAGAGGAAGCGGACCTCATAGACAACGAAGTAATAATCGAGAAACTAGAAGCAACAAGAGACAAGAACTACTGTAGGTGCCTGACCCGATGGCTGGATAAATAAAGGGCTGTCATAAGGTAAGTATGACTGTAAAAACCATTGGGTTAAGTGGATCCCCTCCTCCAGAATACCGTCTTAGTTATCGTTTAAAGTAGCCTTTAACAGCTGAAGAGAACATCCTACTGTACAATTACACACTACCTTAGCCACCCCACCCTGGGAAAATTTATGATTATGGACAAGATTAAGGAATACCTATCACAAAATGTGACGGACCTTTGAGAGAATCGCAATAACTGTCAGCTCTTACATTTTCTGATAGAGAAGACCACTTTGTATTATCTGATTCAACGGAAAAATTCTAAAACGGTCGTTGCCATCCGAGTTGAGCAAAAAGGATTTTGTTCTTTACAGACCTTTTACAATGCCGCTTGTTTATTCTGACAACAGAGGTGTGCAAATTATGCAGTTATGCATAAATTATAGCTTTCATTAAAGCGGCAGAAAGAAGCGCGTCTGTCACACGAAGGGTAGTCATGTCCGTCTTTTGTTGTGGAAGTTCTTTAGATCTTTGCCGATTACCAGACATACGATGACCAAATAAACTTGGCGAAGTACTAAAGGTTAAAAGCACTCAAAATGACGCAGACTGGGGATCCACAGCGCAAAGAACAACTGAAGGAATTCCAACGAAATGCACATCGTTTACTGTCAGAGGATGACCGTAATTATTTACATTATACGCTCAAAGAATACCAGACTTATAAATCAGTAGAGAAACTGGTGACTGCGTTGAAATCGTGCCTGGATAACCCAAGAAAACTGGATCTTCTCGCTGATATTCGAAACCTTATTCCTTCGGCGCATCTGAGCAAGTTTGATAGTTTAGCTCCGTACAGCGAAATGGCTCATCCTTTCAAACCACCAAACCAAGTAGCTGCGAACCGCAAGACTCAAAGTTTGCCTCACAGTTACAAGAACAGCGAGCTCAGAGCACTTGCTCGGGGCTCTTCACCGACTAACGCTGGTTCTTTTAAAGTTATAACGTTAGCAAGAACTTCGCTAGACGAGTCTCTTGGGTTTAAAATCAAAGGCGGTCGCGAAAACGATAGGGCAATTTTTATTTCCGAAGTGGATGAGAGCTCCTCTGCGGCTAAACAAGGACTCAAAGAGGGCGATCGAGTAATTGAGGTTAATGGAATCGATTTTGAGAAAATTACTAAAAGTTCAGCGGAAAACTTGTTGGGATCCATGAATAAACTCAAAGTGGTTGCTAAGTCGTCAACCTCCTTGCCCGAAATGGATGTGTCTAACTCTTGGTAAGTTATGACTGTCATGATAGGAAATCACAACTGCTGATTATTTGTCACACCATTCGCTTTGCCAAAGCTACTTGTGGCCTTAGTTATTAATGCCCAGCATTTTTATTAAACAATCACTTTGGTTCGTTTTGTTAAAAAACAATCGCAAAAGGACTTTAGGAAGCGTGTTAGTGTTAAGTAATTTAAGGGCTCGTGACTCCCGTTCCGTGACTTCGACTTCTTCTTTCTTAGATAACACTAGCTTACATCTGCATCTCTGACTTTCAGATGTCAGAAGTTGGTTGGACATTTTGTTATCCAAACAACATACAAGATGGTAGTTATATTGTAGGGCCAACATTGTTACCTTTATCATTTTCACATTGTGTTTACGCGCACTTGTGGTACTTCGTAAGTTGGAGATTGTTTCTTTGAAACTATTCACTTGAAACTTGTACTTTGTTCATATAAATTTAACCATCTATCGACCACCTCTTATAAGCTTTAAATTGGAGATGGAGTTGAGAATAATTAGCCAATTTACGTTCTGTGGTATTGGTTTTTGTAACATTTTGAAACTAATTTATGGTTTGTTTGTAAGTGGTTACCGTGTATGTATTTCAAGTAACCTGCTGACCTCGGAATATTTCTCATCCACGAAAAATTTTTATGTGCTTCTAATGGCATCACATTGGGATCCTACCGTTTATATTTAATAAATATTATTTTTCGCAGGAAGGAAACGGCCTCAGTTAGAAATATCGGTTTGATTTGTTACGGAACAGCGGGTTTTAAACTGAGTATTTTTGGGGGATTAATATTGCGTGCATTGTTTCACCTGGTTGAACCTGTAAATTCACGCAGGAAAATGTAGATGTCAGTGGTTACAAAATAAAATTTTGAGAGAAAGTCCATACAATAAAAAAGTTCATTTTGCTTAAACTTAGTAGCTTCCTGCAGCAGGAAGAAAGGAACGTACACTAGATTTCATAAGGTGAATAAAAATGTTACTGCCACTGTATGCATGGCTGGGAAATATGCATCTCTGCAGGTGTAATTAAGCCAAAATTACAAAACAAAGTCTGTTATGGTGATAAAACATCAACAAAAACAGCAAAAACTTTATAAGCAGTCTGACTGTCTTCAGAGTCCTCAAAAATTATTGTTCCCCGTTGGAGCAGATTTTTATCAGTTTGAAATAGTTTTGATGCCACCTGCTACAGGTATTAAATGTCTTAACATATACATCCTAATAACACAGAACCTCCCCCTTTTAATAACATGTAGACCACAATAATATTGTACAGAAAGATTGGGTACGTTTTTCTGAAGGACACTTTTGATAATTGATAATCAAGAGAAGGCCAAATGCACAGGTGGCTTCCCAACAATTAAGATTGAAAGTTGTTTTTAATAATTATTGGCTTGACTTTCCATATGACCCATTTTATCATCAGATGCCTGAGGAAATAGGTAGAAATCGTGGTATTATAATTAAAATTGCTTTTTTTAAAAATTTTTTTTGAACACTAATTCTAAAAAGTGGTTTTTGCATGTGAAGATTATTATTAACAATGCCATTTTCATTCGAGATTCACCCAAAAAGGACTTTGATAATAAATATTGATACATGGCTGCTTGGAAAGTGGATATATGTTTATTTCTATTTGATAGTTTTTTCTTTGCAATTGTTCCCTCACACTTCACAGTAGGAATATGATTCTATAAGTTTCCAGTGGTTAATTCAGCTCATGATCCTTTGGGTCTTATATATACAGGGGCACCCAACGATAATTTTTGGAAAAATATCTGTTTGGAAGACAATTTGAGATCTAGAATTTTCGGAACATTTGTTGTGAAATTACTTGCTTGCCTGCCTCTCCTAGGATTTTCGAACATGTAAAAAATCGTAAAATTGCCCATTTTCAACGGATTTTTACCCTAAAAAGGTCACCTAGAATTTTCGGGAGCCTTTTTTCTGGCTGAAATTTTCGAACAGGTAAGTTTTGATCCCTATAATTTTCGGATCACCAGACTTTCAGCTGGGAAATCCAAACAGATCAAAAATTTATAGGGGATAAAAATATGCCCACATTCACCGTTTAAATACTAAAACACGTTTAACAATGCTATGTTTAAGTGGTTTTAAACTATATTCTCGTTGGGTGCCCCTGTATATATATATTTTTGCTATAGCCAACATTCCTGTTCAAACTGGGTATCTCACCAAGGTCCTCCACACTTCATCTTAGTGCAGCAATGCTTTGTCTTTTGTCTATTCTATTCCTGACATACCATACAGTGTAATTTTGTTCTGCATTGGGTGATCCTTCTTCAGTCTGTTATACTTTGGTAAAAAATTGACCTTTGTTTTGCAGGGGTCAAAGGAATGGAAGAGTTGTCCAAAATGGAATGTCTGAAAATGACAGTCTTCAGGTACATTGTAGATATTCTTTCAGAGCCATTAAGTTGGTACGAGATAAGACAAGGATAGGGTTTAACCCATGATATAAAAGTAAAAAGGGTTTACATGGGAAAACAATCCTGAGTTGGACGAGATCAGTTTTTCTGAGGAAATAACTATTAACTTGTGAAAAAGCTGAAGTTTCAGAGCGAGACATTTTCCCCATTTGGTTATCCCAGATCTTGCGTCTGTCATGCACAAATTCTGGCTACCACCCTGTATATTAGATACACGGCTAGCTTTAAACATTCAGAGGGTTGTCAGTAATTTATAGTACCTTTTGGAAAGTTGGAAGACACTGAAGATTTTCCTGACATTTTTGGTCTACAGGCAAGCAGTGGTAGTGGGGGAAGTCTTACTCTTCAGCATAATTCTCATCTGCTGAACAGCTCTGATCAGAGGAAAGTCAACCTTCAAGTACAGTCAACAGCAAATGGCTTCATTGGGTTTAACCTTCGAGGTGGAAGTGAATATGGTTTGGGTTTATACGTCTCTGGGTATGTACCTCTACAACAATTACCTCTGACAAACTGAATCTTATAGGACCAACTAAATAGCTGACTTACTGCTTCATTACAGAAAATTTTACATGTACATTGTTGCACTGAATTTATCACCAAATTAACACTTTTGCTCCTCTGTCAAGTCATTGTTAGATGATTTATGACTTTAACCTTTTAATCTGTGGACAGAATCCTATGGTTTCACCATTCAATGGCTACCTATTGGACAGAACTTTTGCAGGGTACTATGGTGGAACCTCTATTCAGGGGACAATCTTGGGAACAAGCCAAAAATGTCCCCTGAATATATAGGCTGGGTTGAGGTTTGTTAATTATTAACCAACAAATAAAATATATTTTTTTATTCTGCCTCGGAATCTGCTGCAGTACTCCGATTTAAGTGAGATATAGTTATTGTTGTGACTGTGCACACTTAAACTTTATCTACCCTCTATTTTGGTCAGTCACATTTTGAGTGCCAAGGTGTCCCTTGAATGGAAGTTAAACCTGGGTTTCAGGACCCAGAAATAGTCTCCCTTTCCCATGAATAGAGGTGTCCCTTATGAGACCAAGTTTTGTATCCCCTGATTGGATCTGTCCCTTGAATAGAGGTGTTCCAAAGGAGGGGTTCCTGATGGGTCTAAAGTAGGTCACATTCCACAGGTCAAGAGTTCAGGTCACTGCTCCATTGGTAAATCACCAAACCACACAGATTCCCCTCAATCTAATAGAGTTTGGTTAAGAGATTAGGGCCAGGAGATTTTATTCATTTATCTTTAGCATGGTGACCTGTACTCTGACCTGTGGAAAAGTGATATGTATTTTAGACCTGCTGCCTTTGCTTTCCTTGGCCTTTTGACTCTGTTACAGTCACCTAGTAGGTTATTACAAGAATATACTACCTCTTACTCTAAGTGTTGTTGTCTTTACACAGTGTGGATCCTGGTTCACTAGCAGAAGAAGCAGGCTTTAAAGTTGGTGACCAAATTATGGAGGTCAATGGGAAAAGCTTTGAAAACCTTAAGCACAATGAGGCTGTTGAATTTATCAAGTCACAAAAGCACATCATGGTCACACTTAAGGTAAAGTTGCCATTCTTGATATTGTAGATTGTACGCTGTCTACTAGGTGTTGTTTCAAGTCATGGCCATGTGCCCATTGCATTGTTTCTATAGACAAAGGGATCACTCAGTCTCCTTACCTTGTTTTCTTTCCACCCAATTGGATACATTATGTTAGGTAGAACCTGCTGGGTCTAAAGTACAGATCACACTCCACAGGTCAAGAATACAGGTCACCGCTCCATCGATAAATTACCAGACCACACAAGTTCCTCTCGATCTAAGAGAGCATTTTGTTAAGAAATTAGGGCTAGGAGACACTTTTAATTCTTTTTGTCTATCTGTATCATGGTGACCTGTACTCTAACCTGTGAAAAAGTAACCTGTGTTTTAGACTCACCGAAGTTCTGTCAATGAACGTACCAGTAATTTTAGACCATCAGGATTCAATTATATAGATATGCCAGAAGAAGTAAAAGTTTGTAGAGTTTACAGTCAATGCATAAATAAGCACCACCATTGCATTTAGTGTTTTAAATATTATAATATATCACACATCTTTTTGTAGGCTGTGGGAAAGCTTCCGGAGGCAAAACATTATCAATCCCAAATCAGTTGGGTTTATCCTGATGGGACTGTTGTAATAGGTATGTCATGACACAATGAAGAATATTAAATAATTTAACCCTCAAGTTCTCTACAACAGCCATCTTTGGGACAGGTTGTAGTCATTATAGAGATTACCTTTAGTAGAGGTGCAAGTTTATATGCTGTTGTTGCCCTATATAATAATAAGCATATTGTTGCTGGACTATAAACAGACACTGTGCGCACATAGCTTACACACACAAATTTACTAGGACCCTGTAGTTTTTTGCTCAGTGCCCTTGCTGTTGAAAGACCTTGTTTTGTTATCAGTTGTGCTCTTTTTAACAAAAATGATTCTGATCACAAGTTTGCCATGCAGTATAAGAATAACACAATTTGCACATGAAAAGCAGGAAGGTTTGTAGCATAAGATTGTCATCGTCAGCCTGGGTACTATTCAACGGCACATAGGCACTGAGAACACAACCATAAAATGGGCTAATCTTAAAGAGTTCAAACCTAATGTTTGTACTATTTTATGGTAATAAACAGGTGGATAATTTGCAAGCCTCCGCCTTAGGGGTGTAATGATTCATATTCCTTACGGTTTGATTCGATTTCTATTATTGCCTTTCGATTTCGATTATTTTGACTCGATTATGTAAATGTTTCTTAATTCTTATAACATAACATGTAATGTAAACAACATGCAACCCTAAACCCTCAATTTGAGAATAGTAGCAGGGACAGGAGGATTCACAGTCGCTTGGTTCGTCGCCATGTTTGAGAACCTGACAAAGAGCGTGTCGCACATAGTTTACCTTATTTGGAAATTAAAGGGTGGTTGAAGGACAGCATTTTTACCAGGCAACACAAAATGACGTACGAAATGCTGTCGTCTTTACTCGTCAATCATAAACGCATAATTTAAAGCGTTCTGGATTTCGATTTTACAATATAATAACTCACTAAGGGCACCCTGGAAAAGGTGTGCAAAAATCGAACCAAAATTGAAACATGGAAGCAAAGAATCGTGAATCAAACCAAATGGTCATAATCGCGATTAATCGAGAATTGGATTGGAATTTTAAGTTACTCTTGATTTTACTCATACATGTAAAGATTGTCAAAAGATCTGCTCTTGCATTTTGCAGAGGGTAAAGAGTCGTACACAAGATCAATTTCGGCACCAGTCTCCCCAGTACCATCTCTAGAGCTTAGTCACTCAAGTACCCAGTTCCCGATTTTAGAACAGGAAACCCCAACAAGAGACACACCAAGTCCAAGGCCAGTGTTACGAGAGACTGGGGTACAGACCCCTGAACCGTCTCCTGAACCTCAGGCAGAAGTCAGAGAAGATGTGGTAATTGTGAAAGTTGAGCAGAGTGAAAATGCAGAACTGGAAAGGACACAGAGTGCTAAGAGTCTGGCTACCTCCTCCACCAGTAGTGGAGGTGAATTTGAGAAGCAAAACTCAATTCGATCTGCCCATTCCTTTGAGAGTGTGAGCAGCAGCAGAGAAGAAATGTTCAAAAGAGCTTCAGTATCAAGCATGAGCAAGGAAGAGGCCATTTTAAGTGGTAGTGATGGAGAGCTTAATGATAAGAGGAAGGTCAAGAAGTCCAAATCTTTCTTGCAGAAGCATGGAGACAAAATTAAATCCAAGCTAAGCTTCAGGAAAAAGAGTAAACCAAAAGTGGAGGAAAGAAGTAAGTACAAGACAACAGTTGTCTGTTTGTGTGTGTTTTACTCATTTGACGGGGGAAAAGCCTGAGAAGTTTTGAATTTATATTTCAAATTTAGTTTTGTTCAACAGAGTCATCACTCAATATGAATACTGATCTTTAGTAGTAGTTCTCAAACAGTCACACTAGAAGCCTTTAGAGCTTTCATGAATATATTTAGAAGACTGAAAAAAAGCAATTTTATTGGCAGCCATAAAAACCACAGAATATGCTTATGGTAGGCAGCCTTTGCAAGGTTCTTTAGGGTATTCCATTATGTATTGCTAATTAGTATTCTACAGCAACTTCTTACATTCTGATTGGCTAATAATACTAACTATTCATCAGTTCTTTGAAAGCAAATACAGAAAAGCCAAGTTGTCTGCCGGTAAAAAAAGACAATCAAGGCTGTGTTCTAGCAGAGCCTGGTGCCCCCTGGCACCTACACTTTTCTCTGAGGTGACTAGAAATTAAAGTTTTTTCATAAAAATCATATGCTGGTCACCCTGGATTTTACAGATTCAAAGCAATTGGTCCCTGTCAATTTTTCTTAGAGCACAGCCTTGTATAGCCTGTGAACACAGACGTATTATTAATTTTGTGGTTGTCGCTTTGGGTGGAGAGAAGCAACGACCAGAAATATGTTTTTGTTCTCAGGCTAAGCCTTGTATTGTTTTATGAAACCAGTTCGTAAGGTTGTTTATAGGTTTGTTTGTATAGGTTGTTGCATCATCATTTGTCATCTCTGAGCTTGTGCATCACTGATATTATTTTCATTTTTTTACATCTGATCCATCTTTTTTAAAATTCCTATTAAAATTGCCTTTATAAGGCTTTGTTGTTGTAAAATACAACTTCCATAACGTGAATTGATCATGATATACATTTTAACGTCCTTCCCCATAAATTTATCAAGCTAATGATAAAGGTATAATATTAGAATAAGTACTTGATGTTAAATGAGAAATAAGTATAAGAAATAAGCTGTACCAAATGAAAAAAACATTAATTAATTAATTAAATATGTTATGTAGTTTTTAGCTTTTAAGCTTTGTCCTGAAATGCACTTTTTTTACCATTTTAAAGATATAAGCTTAATTCTGACTTTTCTGGGGCCATTGCATGTTGACCTATTAAAAATAAAAAGACTATTTTTAAAAATACGTAGTTATCTTGATTTTTCCTTGAACAAACAGCTATTAAATATACAAATAAAATTTATAAACCAGATTAAATTGATTTTCAGTTTACGACTTACTATAATGTAAAGACATAATGAGAGAATAACTGAAATGATTTTAACCGTGGTTACTTCGTTAAGGTCATTTAAAGATCTAAAGTATAAATGTAATTAATATAATTATAATCATAACACTATAATGTTAAATCCTGTTGTTGTGTTTGTTTGTTTGTCCGGTTGATGTCTGGTACTAGCATTTCGTGAGATGCAACTCCCTTTACATGCGAGCCCTATTTTTGAGAAGGGTTTTGGTACTCAATTAATGCTACTAGGTGGATCAACAAGACAGCAGATGTTACTTTACATTGAAGAAAAGGCAAAGAAGATTCTAGTGGTGGATGAATACAATGCTGTTATAAGACATATTAAGCAGGTAAAGAAAGAGTACATTTGTACAACACCGTAAACTGCTGCTTATAAGCCTCCCCCCCCCCGCTCTCTCCACTTATAAGCCCCTTCCCAGTTATAAGCCCTTCGAACTGTACACAAAAAATACAAAAAAAAAACAGCAATTTTTACTTTAAATTGAAGAAAAGGCAAAGAAGATTCTAGGGGTGGATGAAAAAAATGCTGTTAAAAGACAAATAAAGCAGGTAAAAAAAGGGTACATTTTTACAACCCCGTAAACTGCTGCTTAAAAGGGTCCCCCCCCCCCCGCTCTCTCCACTTATAAGCCCCTTCCCAGTTATAAGCCCTTCGAACTGTACACAAAAAATACATACGATTAGAAGCAACCCCCACCCCCAGGTATAACCCCCCTCTAAATGTATTGAAATGAACTTGATTCATTATGACATTTTGAAGCTTTAAAAAACGCCAGTAAATGCAAATCGTATTTTGTTCAGCGCTGCTTTTATAGCTCTAGTCTGGTTAAAAGCTCCTCCGTTTCTAATCCCTCCTAAAACCCCTTACGAATTAATTTTTATGTATAAGCCCAGGACTTACAAATCGGCAGTTTACGGTAGATCATAAGTTTAAGGTTAATCTAACCTTTGACTAGGCGACTGGTCTGTTTACCCTCTTTCAAGGAACATGGCCTCAATTAAATTCGTATATTTAAATTCTGCCAATTGGGACGTACTAATGACCTGGGGAAAATCGACAGAAATGAAGTTTTAAATCTTATGTTTAAGTTTCGTTGTGATACTTTTAAAAACTACATCCTGTTGTGCTTCAGCCTAAAACTCAGTTCCATGATCTTTTTATTTTAGTACCAAGAAGATTCGGATGTAGAGTCCCTTGTGAATAAACTGCTGGCAATACTGGACAGACCCGAGAAAGCTCTTTTGTTGAGAGATATAAGGTGAGAAAACATGACGAAAAACTGCTGCTGCTGCTACAGTTATTTTTCCACTCATAACACCTTTAATTTATGAGTTTACTTTCTATTTCATAGCTGTAACTAATTAAAAATTATACTTACATTACTGATTGAGTAGTTTTATCGACGCGTTGTTTTTGCTGCGTTCAAGGTGAATATTTTTGGGGCAAGAAAAATATGCTGTTCTCTGATTGGACGATAGGAACCCGTGGTTTGGCAGTTTGGCGCGTTTTTGAGCGGATTGTGTTTCGGTCATCTGCAGTCCCAATTTATATCTGCCACTTGTTGTTAATATTCTTGATAATATTTCCTTCAAAGGACGTTAGTATTGCCATATGATCTCGGAAGATTTGATGCCATGGTTTCCGCTCATGAAAAGGAGGCACTTGAATACCTCAGCGGTTGTGTACCCGGTGAGTGGTCGTCTAAGCAATAGGATTTCCCGCATTCTCTCCTCTAGATTCATGTCGGAAATCCTCACAAGTAGGTCACTTTTCGAGACAACTTTGGAAATCGTCGAAATATTCTGCGAATACAGCTGTCTCGCGGCGAGGAGCGAGCAATGACGGCTGTATTCGCAGGCTGTCTTTAGGGTTCACTGGATGCTTTAGATCATCCTTAAATCTTTGGATGAATAAGTCATCCTGGAAAAAGAAAATTTCAATGTATCTTTGGTAGCAGGCACGCGTAGACGGAGAGGGGAGGGTTGGGGAGGGGAGAAACACTGCAGTATGTCTCTGTAGTGTAAGTGTTTTACCCTTTTTTGTCCGTTTAGTGATGTGGTGAAGGATTTTTAGCCGACAGCAAAAGGGGGACTTTCTAATAACAAGAGTCGCCCTTTAAATAGTGCATGCAGTAAAAGCTGGATGGAATTTGGACACCTTAAAAAGTCAACTAAATTATTTGCAAGCGCAAAATCTTCTCATCTGAACATATTCCATGCTGTAAAGGTTTGACGCGTGTAGCAATATGTCTATGATATTGATGTTTGCTTTTTTCTTAAGGTTCACCTACGATAATACCGACTGTGACGGAAAAACCCAAGCGGCAGCTTGTAGCCGCCATCCAAGGTACGATTGACAATGCTATCAGTACGTATAACGAGCTGTGATAATTTATTAGGGGGGCGTTTTAAAGCGACGCACTTCAACCGAAAGTAAGGTCTTTTATCGTTTAATGTGCCTTGGCGATACCACATTTTTTCTTTTTGCTATGTTTCCTTACCCTTATACAGACAATTTGCCCGAAAATGTTGGTAAAAACGTGAAAAACGTTGCCGAAGAATGAAAAAAGGCCACTTCAGGTTAACGTACGTCGCTCAAAAACGCCGTTGCTTAAAGCTCCCTTATAGTGTACAAAACGAACACTTTATTCAAAACAACAAGGCTACTGATATATTCATACTTTATAATATTTGCCAAAACAATTTAATACCAGTGTTAAAATGTTTTGTTTACAAGTATTAATTATGAAGGTCTGTTAAGAGCTTTTTGTCACCTCTTGGAACTCCTTTTCTGTAGTAAAATATTTATACTAATTTGATTGTGCTAAGAAGGAATCTCTGGTTTGTACTCGATTCTTAGTTAATTGAAGGAGAGATGTTCGCTCTTAAGCAATCTAATACCTGAGCTAATTTGATCCTAAAATCGTTCATGAGAAGGCTTGATTGACGAGGAGAACGACGTTACCATGTACACTACATATTTGTGTCTATTTAATACTGTATGTTTAGCTATAAGGTCTTTGGTTCTGCTTTAAAAGCACCTGAAAAAAAATCAAGCTTTTTTGGGATGAATATCTTTTTAGAACAGTTAAACCTAAACTCGTCTTTATGTAACAACTCATATCTAGGCAAAAAGCTGGGCTGTTTGGATAATCCGCGACTTGTATAGATTATCCGAGATCGGCTTTACTCGGGTACAAAGCATAGAGTTCATGTAAACATCGGCCGCTAAATTTTCATTATGCGACTTTATAACCTGGACAATTTAGGCACAAAGCTTTCCAGGATGTCTTAGAATTGGAAACTTTGTGTAGTGAAATGATAGTACTGGTCGTTAAGGTACTGAAAAACGGACAACAAAAAACATGCAACTTGTCTTGCAACATCGCAGCACAGCGAGTTGGAAAGCGATGTTGCGCGTATTAACACCCACATAAAACCTGTTGTTCACAGTTTTGAATGAGGGTGGTAAAACGCGCAACATCGCTTTCCAACTCGTTTTGCCGCAATGTTGCGAAGCAAGTTGCACGTTTAGGGTTTATGTTGCATGTTTTACCGACAGAAACTTTTTAATATTGATGGATGTTTTTTACAGACAGTAGAGGAAGTTTCCAATTAAAAACCAAAGAAGAAGTGGAGAAAATAAGGCAAGAAAAACAAGAGATGGATAAGAGGCGAGCACAAACAGCTTGGCTCGGAGGCAGCATTCTTGATCGCAGCACAAGGAGTAACACAGCACACAATCCAAACGCTATCATTACATTACCACCGAACTACACAATGGACGCAATTCCAGTCAGAGATATGTTTTCAGCTTCGACAAATAACTCTCCCGCATCGTTTGATGTTCCTGTTATCCAGGTCAACAATGACAGCGTATCCAGGACTCCTAAACATGACGAAAATGATAACGAGAAACCTCGACCTTCAAACTCGCTGTTGGTACCTGATCGGGTATCAGTGGAGTATAGGGACGACGATAAAGAGGAAGGACTTAACACGCCTATGTCGCCAACTGCTGGTTTATCGATTCCTGTTCCATCGATCGCTGTTTCTAACCAGCAAGCTGGTATCACGATTCTTCTTTCGAAAAAAAGAACGAGTTTAGGTCAGTGATTCACCGTTTCCTAGTTTAATGATAAATATATAATCCGGAACAAGCCGCTCTTTTAGTTCCCTGTGTTCCAGAGGTTATTTTTTTCTTATCTAATTCGAGATAGTTCGCGGCGAAGCCGGGTCAACGAGAGAGAAAAAAATAACCTCATCTCGGGAGCTTTTTCAAACCGTGAGCACGGTTTAGTTCATCCTAGGTCTAAATCTAAATGGATAACCGTATCAATCTCCCATGCCGGATATATATGATACAGGAGAAGTAGAGATTTCAAGAACGGACCTCTGGAGCCAGGGTATTCTTTTAGAAGAATTTCAAAGTTTTTGAAATCCCTTTTCTCCGTTCCACGGCCCTAACCAAACAAAAATTCTCCCTGGAGCATGCAAAGTTATTGTTAACGGTGGTTCTTCGTAAGGCGCGGACACACGAAAGTTCTAATTTTTTCCGACGCGATGCAGCCGGACTTGTCACTCGAGACCTTGAACGATATGATATTCTATATAAGGGAATTAGGCCGTTTGCGACATAGGTTAAATTTACTTCGGTTGCTTTGTAATGGATATGGACAAAAAAGAAGAAAGATAATTTTGGGATCGCCGTCTTGACCTAACGTGTGGCAGCATGTGACTCGGTCTAATTGCCTTTGCATTAGCGGGGCTCTAAACTTATTCGATCCTTTCCATTTTTGTCGTAAGTTTTTGGCTTTGCATTTAATTTTGGTTCCCAATTTACACTCTTAATCTAGTGTGGTTCGAGTGACAGGTCTAGTTGACAAAAGGTTTATATAATTGGTCTCGTACTCACTAGCTGTACGTCTTGTTTATTCCACTGTAGGTATAAGTATTTCAGGCGGAAAAGGTTCGAAAACCCAACCCGAGGTTAGAGTTGAGAAAATATTCCCAGGTGGTGCTGCTGCTGATGACGGAAGACTCAAGGTAGATGATCCTTTTTAATAAGGTTTTGGTTTCATCAGCCAAAGGGAAAAGTAACGAAGTAATGTTAACATAGATATTGCCGGCGGACGACCAAAAGAGCCCCCAATCCTAATCTCCAGGGTTCCGGGTGTTGAAATGCTGGATAGCGGTATCCATCGGATAAATCACTATCCAGAGGATAAGTATTAGGGGAACCAATTGTAGTATGCACTGGATAGAGATTTATGCAGCGGAGAGCGTTATCCACTTTTTGAACAACTGGTGCCAGTTGCTATTTCGTATGTGCAGTACGGGCCAGCATAGGATTCCTTTAGACCTCCACTAAGAATGAATAGGATGCAATCTGATGACACGCGTTTGGACTTTTTATAATTCGTTGTCTTACCTTATCTATCCCGTGAAACGTTCGAAAAGTTCATTGCGGGAGCAGGAGTGTTTGACCGCCCATACTCCCTAACGATTAGTTATTACTAGTTGTGTGTCCACTTTTTCCTGTGGCTTGCAGTAACATCAGTCACCTTTGTGTTTAGTTTTTCCTGATACTGGCACAGGGTCCCCTCTTCCCGCACTTAGTTTTCCCAAACTCGTTCCCAGAGTCTCTAGGAAGGAAGACAAGTAACCTGGTAACATGGTTGATATCTTCCTGCACTTAGTATCCCTCCCGTGACCCTCTGAATCTTTCCCGCGCTTGAAAGATTTTCCACCGGTTTCCTTTTTTCCCGCGCTTTGTGTGTGAGCTTGTCAAGTGCATGTTTTTTCAGCTAATTCAGTACTTTCTTGTGCTTAATTACACCAATTAATTCCACGCTTCCTTGCCTCTTTAATGATTTTTACTCGTTATTTTTGTTGTTCCCAGAATTTAACGTAAACGTCTTTCTCTATGAGCAAATTTCCGGCCAGTAAACCAGCGGGTACCTGAAGAAGTTTTTTTTCTCACTTTGAGTTTTCTTCAAATTGCTTGCTTTCAGAGTGGTGACGAGATTTTGTCTGTTGACGGTGAAAGTCTTCAAGATGTCACGCATGCAGAAGCAGTTGACATCATCAGGAGGTCTTACAACAACAAGTCCAAAGACGTCATGGAAATCGTAGTGATACCAAAGCAATAACAGGGTCTTATACAGTAATTATGCAATATTCTAAACCGATCTCAGACCAAACGCGTCTTGCTTTGTTTGTTAACAGAGCTTTGTGACGTTATTGTGAGGTATTAGTTTGCAAGGGACCAACCAACTTGAGATCGCAGGAAACCTCGAAATATTGGTTTGGAAAAATAGAAAAATCTTAGCGAGGTAATATTAATTTATCAATGATTAAGGATGGTTTAGGTTCATGGAGATAAATGTGGATCGCAAACGACAAACTCTTAAAATTTAGACTATTTTTAACCGAAACGCCATTGTTATCCGTGTTGGCAATTACAAGTTCACAGAAATAATTTGCCATTACGGGGTTAAAAACTTGTCCTCCATGTTAAGTTGAGGCCCTATTTGTCGATCCAATATTCAGTTTATATCTGTAGTCTTTAAGATCGTATATCTCTGCGCAGGTCGCGTTTTAAGTAAAATAGCTAGGCATCCATGCTGCGTTTTTGTAAATTCCTTTTTCGTAGTAGACAGCGGTAGTTGTTCTCATACGTGTAGATAATTTCATGTCCACGTAAACGCACAACAATATATTAGACGTACCTTTGTTTTGAGACGGAGATATGGCGAAAATTTTCTCGATTTGACCTCTACTGATTTGTCTAGTTTGAGGTTCATTTTATTCGATTGGCTGCATTCGAGTTTTCATTTTCTCTTTTATGTTGATTTTTAACTACAAAAAAGTCATGTCACTGAACATCAATTTTTTTACAGGTTTGCAAACCTCAAGTTAAGTAACTACATATGATAACTATTGGTATCGACTTCGAGTTCAATTTGGAATTTATTTGCACGAGTGTGCTTTTCAAAAAGTATCGAAATTTGGGTAAATACAATTTGAGGTTTTTTAAAAACACACGAGTGCAAATAAATTCCGCATTGAACGAGAAAATTCGCTTATGATTACACTTTAATAATATATAAAAGTTTACTGGACCACAATTCGTCCCCAAAAACATTCCCAAGGTTCAATTCAACACAACCTACCCAGTGTCACCCGCGACCTCATAGTGGCCAACAAAGATTTCGGCACCTGATTGGTTCTTATGTATTTCAATTGTTAATTAGCCAATGATATTGCTCCATTACCTAGGAGATATGCATTTTATTTCCTTGTTTTTGCACGGTTTACTAAAACTGCATTGCTCTCAGATTCAAGAAATTTTTCATGTTTATTATTAATGTTTATTATTAATTGGACGGAGGCTCTCTCCCTTTAATATGAAATAAGCATGAAGCAAAGATATCTTTCGATAGGCATTTATTGCGTTGTAATATTTGAAGATCGCCTCAGTCTTGCTACCCATACAATATTCAGATGTACGCGTGATTTCAGTGGCCTTCTAAACTGGACGGAAATAAAGAGGACAAAGTCACTTTCACTGAATTTATAAATATTAAATTGTAAAGAACAGATAGTTACCTATTTTAAACCGTGTGATATAGTATGGTGTATTTGATTTATTTAAATGGAAGCAGTTTTTGTATTCTTCTCCGCGCATCTTTACTTGGTGTTGCAAATGTTTTTATCACCAGATGGTTAAAAAGACTTTAAACAATACTCACTCTACTGACTCTAGGACACAAATGATACCAACACTAGTTTTCGCACCAACAAGACACACTTTAAGTACGCTGCACTAAACGGTGGTATCTACGGTACTGTGTTGGGCTTGGACATTTACGGAGAGTCTCACTGTAATGGGCATTTTACCTCTCGAAGAATGAACACAACCGGTTTATACCTCTAAAATGCGCGAGTCTCTTCTAGATCACACCTAGATTTAAAGCGTCCCTTGTTGCGCAGATAATCACAGTGTTTTTACATAGCCTGCTACTAAAATGGAAAGTTAGATTCATTGCTCCAAGTCTCGAATGAATAATTTCATAACGTTTACATAATAGGGGAAGTGACCCGCCAAAGGTGGTGGGGGGGTGGGGGGGGGGGGGTGCCCCGTCTGCCAGAATTGGTAATCCTCAGCCAGGGTCCAATTTTGCCATGTAAGAGAGGATTACCTCATCTACCTGGGGTCCACCACTTCATTGTAAACAGGCCCTGAGTACTAGGGCAGACTTGCAATTAATCTTAGACCTTTGTAGATGTGTTAATAGCATTGTAATTACTTTGAGTCGCCTCTTTAGCATACACGAAGGGTCTTCCTCGTGTCTGTTACCCTGGCACAGTAATTTATCGTCTTGCACCTAAACGCCAGCTAAATATCTAGGATCTCAGTAACACAATATTTTTATAAATTTAACTGTGGATGGGAATTTTCAACAACATGATGTACATTTTAAAAGCAATTTACAATAATTTGCAATAAATACCATATTTACTAACATAGGCACGTTAAACGTGCATGAGCTATTTTGAATGCTTCAGTGTAACTTTACTGCTTCAGTGTAACCTTACCAAGAGTGATGAATCTACCTTTTTCGTCCTAAATGTAGACTGGGTTTTTGTGCGAAATTGAGTATTGCCTTACATAAACGAAAACGCAAAACGCTCAGCTGCGTCGATCCTCATGCTATATATTCACTTTCCTCTGTCTTTCCCTGTTACATTTGGTGCAAGTTAAACAAATTGCTAAAGTAAAATATATGTCTACTCACCAAACGTTAATTGGAAGGACAACTCTAAGGTTTCCTCGGAGTTTCTTAAGCCAAAATGTGACTCATTGAATTCGAGTAGTTATGAAATACCAGGATTTTTATCATTGTGGTATATGGTTGCATCATCACAATTCACGAGGTTTTCACGTGCGATTCTACCCAGTGAAACAGTGTTTAACTCCGACAACTTATTTCTTCACGTTTTAAAAGCTATTGCTTCTTAAAAGACAAGAGCCTTTTTTAAGGCATTGGTTACAAAACGAAACAGGTCTTCATGCGTACGTTCAAGTTACTATTATTATTGTGAAAAGCCAATCTGCATGAGATGTACAGTCACACAACTGGCACGTGAAAGTGTTGGACTTTGCCCCTTTCGTGGTTCGTACGTGAGGGAATTCGAGTTATCACACAGTAATCGAGTAAACAGAATTAAAAAAATAACTCATGCACACAATTTGCATGTGAAGATGTTGGTCTTTGGCCCTTTCACAATTCGTACGTAAAAAAAGGCAAATTGTTTGCTACAAAATTTTCTTAAACGATTTTAAGAATCACTCGGCTTAACAACATCTGCAATTAAATTATGCTTCATGTGACGTCAAGATTGATAGCCTAACATTTATTAACTTCCAAGAAAATTATCAAACTGCCGAAATATATTTCTGCTCATATCATGTTACTCGACTCAATAAAGCAGTATCTAATTATTGTGTCTGCAACTAGCTTCTTCCAATTTTATTTACGCATCTTTACTAAATAAAATAAGTTTCAATAACTATAATGCTTAGTATACAGGAAGGATGTATCATGTTGTTCACTTATTATTCTTTTTTTGTTTTTTTGTTTTTGCCGGAACGAAAAAGGTCTGTTGAACTTTGTAAGCGAGAGAATAATATTTCTACAGCTTGATTACAGGATTAACAATACTCGGTACAGCTTTAAAAAAATAAGCTGCCTTTCAAACTTCTAAAACCACATTTTATAGGCCGCATACTTTCGAGTTAAAGTCCATATCTAAATATCAATTATTGCTTCACTGGAAGAGCTTTGAAAATATATGATCTTTTATACTCTACCTTCAAGCAGGTGAAACAGAACTCATAAATACGTGCGTGGTACCGTTCGCGATAGCCGAATTCGGTCAGAAATGTCTTGAAGTAGCATCCACACTAAAATATGAACCCTTAAACAGCTGCACCACTGTACACAGCGTTTGAATCATGAAGATATTTAATATAATGTTTCCAAACACCTGTAGCCGTAATAAAAGACGAAAAAATTGTGAAGAATCAAGATGGCGGTCTTAAAGTGCCCTTGTTCGACCTTTGGCAATATCATTTTTAAGTAGATGCCAAGATCTCATTGGTTCCTAAGCATCAACTCATAGTACCTTCAACCTTATTGGCTCTTGCAACAAACATCCGAACATACAAAGTTACAAAGATACAAAGCCACAAAGATACATACGCTCACACCACTGACATATGAGCTATTTTTTCAAAATAGCTCAATAATGGAGATCTTCGTACTGAGTTTATGAAGTAAGTGAAGGCTTCTTGCGGTCTTTCGACAGGTGAAACAGTGTGTTGGTTAAGGGCAATTTTAGTCCATTGGTACCCTAGTTCCAGAGGTCTTTTTGTTTTAAATTGTAGCTGCTTCGCAACAATTACCCTTGGACCAGGGAATTCCAAAGGGCACCTGTCCTCTCTTTACAAAAGGAAATGAAACTCCTGAAATCAGGTTCTGAAAATCGGCAACCTTCTCTGGTCGTTTACGTGTTTAGTGAACGTGTCCTGCTTTTGATACCTAGGCGTAGCTCAGTCACAGTCAGTTCGAACTTCGACCCTCCATAATTCCATTGATCCTTTTCCTAGTCCTTTCTATCTTATAAAACCTCCTTTCTTCCCCATCTATGCAGGATGCTCGACCCCATTTAACCTGTCAATGTGCTTTAATAATTTTCGCTGAGTTAAAGGAGTTAAATGGACTGTGTCATAATGGCAGTCCTGTCCATTTTCTTTAGCATTGCTTCACTCACTTTCCTGCAAACCCACAGCTTCGTGATAAATAAATTTGTCTTCCAAGCATTATATTTGAAGTTACAAGAAAGAGAGATGAATTTGTAAAAAGTTTTCACTGAGGCTAACAACTTTTCAAAATTTGATTGATGGTGATCAGTTGAAACCCTTTGATGTGGTTCAGAATGAGATCATGGACTCTCATAAGTTGGGTCGTCATTTTGGCAGAACTGTTACACAGTTTTATTTGTTTTTCGGCATTTTATAAGAAAAAATATGAAATTTATTTCTGTGTAAAAAAATTTGACCTCGAATGACCTCGCACGCCTTGGCACGCCTCGGCTACGCCCATTATTACCGTGCAAGACTGGTACCAAGTAAGGCCAAGCAAAGCAAGATGGCGGAGAGTTCAGGTGATGAAGATTGTACTGAAACAGATTTTGTCTTTTATCGCGATCGAGAAGAATGGAAGGATGTCACTCCTGTTGAGCAAGATGATGGGCCTTATCCAGTAGTTAGAATTGCCTACTCTGAGAAATGTAAGTATCGGTAATTTTCACGTTGTTGTGCGTGGCTTCAGTCTATGCAACCCCAAATTAAACGACAGTTGTGTGTACCGGGGACAATTTAAAAACTTCTGATCAAAATCTTTTTCTCCCCACGGCACATACTGGAGGTTATAAAAGAAGCTTCGCTTTTAGAGGAGCTCTTTCATGTAGCGCCCTGAAACTAGAGCCGAAGCAAGAGAATTCTTAAGCTGCTTCTAAGTTTCACTCTGTGAAACAACCGCCCTTTCAGCTCATTACTTGACATCCGTCCGTTATTTAGTTTAGTCAGTAATAAAGCTACACCTAGTTGTTATTGATTTAGTCATTAGTCAGATTAGTCTTTTCATTTTTTGTTTGTATTTGTAGAATTAGTGAAGCGTGGCTCCTAGTGAGATTCAAAACACTTACAATATTTAAAAAATAAATTCTAGTCGCAAAGTCTCAGATTTTAGTCTAGTAGCCGAAAATCTAAGACTTTGAGACTAGAATGGGCATTTATGTAATTACTTAAAATATTATTTACATGAACCATCAGCAGGAAATTATTTAATAACTTCAGGCATGGGAAGTGGCAGGCAGGAAGTAAGGTAAGGGGGAGAAGAAAAACCCAACTACTTCCTCATTTTACGTAACCATGATAATATTATGTTATTCGATATTTTCAGTTAAAGACGTATTTGACTACTTCAGGGCTGTTCTGCTAGAAGATGAAAGAAGTGATCGTGCTCTTGAACTGACTGAAGATGCTATAAGTCTTAATGCTGCCAATTATACTGTATGGTTAGTGCTTTTTAAAGTAGTTATTTTTGTTCTGGCATAATATCCTCTCAAGAATCAGCCGGCCTCTTCCCCTCCTTCTTCTAGTAGTAATCTGCAAGTGTTTGACAGAATGGTAGTTTGATATCCGTCAATTCCAAGACACTTCTTGTTAAGGTTTCACAGAGCATCAAATCATGGTTTGCACACACCTTGAAAGTCCATTTTGAATTTCAATGCTAACTTTATAGTTTAAGTAGAACTCCAAAGGAAAAGTCATTGGTGTGTTTCAATCCGTGTATTGTCAGAGTTAAACAGTTGTTTATTGTTAGTCAAATTGTTGGTTGTCCAGTCATTCATTTGATTACCGCACAGCTTGCTGAAATGTCAGTCACTGTCAACAACAGTCCTATTCAGGACTATGTTCTCCTGGACGATCATACTCAACTTACATATGAAATGACTAATACACCTTGTCCTGGAAATTATTGTGTCAACTGTGACTACCTTATTTGAGATCAAAAGATGGAAAATAATGGCTCTGTTGGGCAGCACTAACCTGTATAGATATTTTAAACGGAGGGATGATGCCAAATGGAGAGATTTATCAATTTTTTTTTTTTTCACTTGTTGAAAGGCATTTTCGTCGTGTTTTGCTGAAGTCTTTGAATAAGGATTTAAACAGCGAGTTGGAATTTGTAGGACAAGTCATTAAAGAGCAACCAAAGAACTACCAAGTGTGGTGAGTTGTATTCTTAAGTTTCTAAAAGTGGAACTTACTACACCCCTTGGTTTCACTTACGTCAGCAAGGACCTGCAGATTTTAATTCCTTAACCCAGGGCTAGCTGTCACTAATGGCTGGCAGCTGGGGAAAATTCCTTCTTTTATAGGAAAAAAAAAGGAAAAAAGAACCAAAGAACTTCCTAGCCTTTCATTCCCCAACTATTAGATGTATATACGTACGTGGTACCTTGAAATTTTAGTGACAGCTCTACCCTAACCAGTTTAGGCCACCATTGGTTTAATTTTTATGTCTCAGTCTGTGATCATCAGAATTTTGCCATCCATCTCTTAACTAGTAACTAGACTTCTACTTGCGCTCATAATGACCATTAGCCAAGTGAACCAGGGCCACCCTTTTTTCTGTGAAAATTATTTCGTATAAATTTTAACGAGTTCTCAAATTTAAAAAAAAGGTATATATACAGCTGCCAAGAGTCCTACCCCCCTCCCTTTTCTGAACTTTCTGGATATGCCCCTGTTGTTTGTAAATTAATAAACTGGAGTCCAGCTCTCCATTACATAGTGAGCATCTCTCAAAACAGCCTCTAAGTGCTGTCCTGACAGCCATTGTGTCAACAATCTTGGACAAAAATGTTAAGAAAAATGGACTTACTGCCATGTCTAGTTTCAAGATAAAGCTCTTAAAAGCACGAACAACTACAAGTTCTCCCACCTTCTCCACAAGAGGCAATCTTGAAGTCCCGCTGGATCATTTCTGTTCCCGACTTGACACAATTGAAAATTGGTTGGGCAAGGGGAGGGAAGGGGCCATTGTGCTATCAAATCTGTGGGATAGACATTTTGTGGTTAAGAAAGTGAAAAATTCTTAACACTTTTTGTCTTATTTTTATGATCAAAAGATCAGCCTTACAACTTCTTGTTTTTCTTTCACAGGTATCACAGAAAAGTCATAGTTGAATGGCTCAAGGACCCACGTGATGAGCTACAGTTCACAGAAGACATTCTACAACTGGATGCAAAGAACTATCATGCATGGCAACATCGACAGTGGGTCATCAAAGAGTTTGGTTTGTGGGAGAGAGAACTGGATTATGTAGATAAACTTTTGACAGAGGATCTAAGAAACAACTCAGCTTGGAATCAGAGATATTTTGTAATTAGTCAAACCACTGGTTTTACCGAAGACGTTGTGGATCGAGAAGTCAAGTAAGGAAGTAAATATTTTTCACACTGTGATTTACATGTAATTGTTGAGGAATTTTTGGAGATTTTTCTAATTCAGCATAATCGCTGTTTTGTTTTCTTTTAGATTAACAATGGATCTAATAAAGAGAGTACCAAATAATGAAAGTGCCTGGAATTTCCTTAAAGGGTATTTTACATTCTACTTTTTCCATGTAAATTTATGGTATACTTTAAGAAAAACTGAAGCTTTCCTTGTTAATAGATGTGCTAACTCACAGCACTTGGAGCTTTTGCTCTTTCAAATTCGTGCAATTATTGATATGAACAGAATTGGAAGTTGAGAATTCAGAAATGTCAAATACTCTTGCCCAAAGCATGGGATAGACAAAAAGCTTGAGACCACTAGAGAATACCTGTCAGTAATAATTTTTAAAAACACAACAACACTTTTAAGTTTGTGGAACATGTTTCAATGTTCCGAACATCATCTTCAGCCATACAAGGTATAATACTAATAGTGTACAAGTAAATCAGTACATACAACTACCTTGTACCTTGTATGGCCGAAGATGATGTTTGAAACATCAAAACATGTTCCACGAACTTAAAGGTGTTGTTGTGTTTTTAAAAAATTATTGCTGCATTTGTGCTATCAATACCTGTCAGTGCTTTAGCTAGAACCTTTACTTGGTTCATGAAATATGCTACCTATGAGCACTACATTCTTCCAGGATTATAAAATTATGTCAAAGGGTCATATATGATAAGAAATGAAGCATGGTAACTTTGGAACTGTAGGTCTTTCTGGATAAATAATCTGGCCTTTCCTTCAAGGCCTTTCAGCTATTACTGTAGTTTTTAACCATAAATACCTGAGTGCATGGTTCATAGAGTATTTTGCTTTTGCAGTGTCCTCTCCAAGACTGGACTTAGTAAATATCCAGGCTTAAAAAGTACACTATTAGAAATGTTCAGTAGTGGAATTGATTCCCCGTACTTGATGTCAGCGCTAATCGACATCTATGAAGAGGAGCTTAAGAGTGGAGTTGCTGATTCAAATTGCTTGGATCAAGCTTTAGAGGTAGGCTGGTACTACTGTAGTATATCCACATTATCTTATCTTGAATGATAAAGACTGCATTAAAAAATGTCGACTCCCTTGGAGAGAGGGGTGCAGGGGTGGGGGAGTGGTAGAATATGGAGAAACCCTTGTAAGAAGGTCAGAGAACTATGTGCAGTGATTTTGTGACCCCTGTTCCTTTGATGCCCAAAGATAGAGATAAAAAGTAATTCACGTTTGGGAAAAAAGAAATAAGGAGTTTATGAGAATAAAAATCTGCAGTAAACTAAAACCTACCTCAAGTCAAGTGAGCAATATTTTCTGCCTATAGAACAGGTCCAGAATTTTTTTTTCTCGATGAAAAATATGAAATATGAAGTATTACAATGCAAATACTCCCATACTACGATGATTTTTTTCCTCGTCTTTTTCTTGATAATAGCCTGTAAAAACAGACATATATTATTTCTGGTCATCGCTTCTCTCTGTAGAGAAGTGACGACCAGAAATAAATCTGTGTTTTCAGGCTAGATAACAATGAAAAAAGTAAAAAAATAGCACCCAAAAAATTTTGCAAGCTCTGTTGGAGTTATAGCAAAATACTGTGAAGTTTGGAATAGTGCTGAACGTTTACTGGCATGAAGAGAATAATGAGAAATAGACTGACACAATAATTGACTGCAGTGCCTTGATTGAAAAATTATAGTGTCTTTTCCAGATGATTATTAAATTTGCTGCTGTTTATTTTTTGTTTCAGCTGTGTCACAAACTTGCCACAGATGTTGATTACATCAGAAGAGAGTACTGGAATTACATTTCTCGTACACTGAAGAGTAAATTTGGTCCAACTCAATAACATCAGCAATTATCAATATATTTTTTTCAATATAAGTTTTATTTCTAAAAAATAATATTAGGTTTTTCATTTCCTTTTTCACTCTATTATCTTGCATACAAACAATATAAATAATAATTCCCCCCTCTGTTTTGAATTAATTTTGTTATTTTTCTTGTGAGCTGGAAGATTCATTGCAACGTATAACAGCCACGTGTATAAAAAGTGTTCAAGTGCTAGAGACTGTTATGCTTAAGGTTGCATGCAAATGACTGTAATATTTGAACATAGCTGCACAAAGAGAGAGAGAGAGTGTGTGTGTGTACATGATGTTATCCATGTATAGGGAGTGTTTTGATGTCCAAACATCAAAACCAAGGGTAAATTCAAAATTATTTAATCTAGCCATCTACCCTGCTGATATCTGAAATGTGACTGTCGCGTTGACTATCTTACAGCTGTGTGCATGTAGAATTTGCTTGTATCGACCCTTGTCAAATGTTAACTTGAACTGCCGACAGATTCTTTAGTTAGATCCACTTCATTTTTCCCTAGTTCAGTGTGCAAAGTGATAAATGTTGTCTGGAACTTTCAGGAGAAGAAAGAGTGTATTTGAACTGCCAACAACAGTCCATTTAACTTTGTAATGAAAGTGAGATAAATAAAGGAGCTTCTTGTCAGAAATTCACTGATTTGTACTTTAACCAATGGAAATGCTATGTGCACACAGCCTGCACAAGGTTAGTTATGCTTGAGGATAAGTTCTACTGCCTCTGCCAGATCATTCACATATCCATCTGGTGTTACAGTTGGGTGATGTTCATCTTGTGGCCTAAAGAGTAGAAGATCAGAAAAAATTATAGATATTGAACTCTAGTCTCAGACCCAGTTCATTACTCACTCATGTTCTACGGAGTTGAATTTAAAAGTCAAATTGTGTGTTTTTCAACTCATGTGAGAGGCACTAATGGTACTTTGGACAACCCTCACATTGTTTGAAAAAATTGTTTGATGTAAATTCTCATTGTTATTTAGGTTACCATAAATACAAATCTCAATATTTTGTTTAGCTTGAAACAACTTGCCTCACTAGTTTAGTCAGAGTTGGCAAAGTAAACTGCAGGAAGCAAAGGTGTGTGAGCTTCACTGGGAAACGCCACAAAAAAGGCTAGTATATCATGAAAGGACTATTGCAGGGAAATTGCTTTTCCTACAGTGTGTGTGTAACCAGGACTAAAGTGTGATCAATTCCAGTATTTTACTAAAGACCATATTCCTCATTTATTGAATGTGGGCTTAACTCCATTCATAAATAAAAGCCTTCTGGAAATTGCTAGGTCTTTGGTTACTTCCCAATATTTTTATACACAGCAGCTGAGAATAAAAAACCATGATGGTACCTGAATTTTCCAGTCCTGACTTGAACTCCACGGATTCCACATGCCTGAGCCCCACCAACATCTGACACGATGTCGTCACCAATCATTACTGCCTAAGGGGAAAAACAAAAACAGGAAAATAGGAAGTTTAAATGTTTTGGATAAAAATAGACTGCAAAACATAGCCATAGCCAAGTATGTGTGAACAGTCAGACAAAAAATCACAAGTACGTGCACACTGTTGAACAAAAGGTCTGAAGCGAGTCTGAAAGAGGAAAGCAAGACTCTGACACTATGCTGGAGCTTCACACCTTGAAAAATGATTTTGAGGAAAGTGACTAGAATAAAAAAATCACAGAAAGTAATAGAGGTTTTCTAATAGACAGGGCATCATGGATTAAACCATAGTTATAAAGTTGAATGGTTACTAAACCCATTAGACTCCTTTGTTAATTTGTTGTTAGCTTCTCTGGACCTGACCATGCACCAATAGAATTCCTATTTTCAACTTATTGACCAACAGAAACGTTGCATTAATTCATTCAGTCACAATTTGTAAACAAAAAAAAAGGATTGTGCACAGTCAGAGAGCTTCCAACATAAACTACAGGACCATTGTTTTCAACTTTGTCAGCTTTCATAACCCGTCTCCTCTACTACTATGATAAAACTGAGTAAAATGCTAAATCCAGCTAAATCATTTGAATATTAAAATGATACTCACATCTTCAGGAGAGATGTGCATGTCCTCTATTGCAGTAAGAAAAAACTTTGCTGATGGTTTGCCAACAATCTCAGCTTTCACATCAGAGGCAAACTATGGAGAAACAGAAAAGCTGTTAATTAAACAATAAAGTGATCAATTCCACAGGAATGATGAAATAAAACAGCAATGATGATAAAGAAATGCTTACTTCTAAGGCTTTTGTGTAGGGACCCACATCCAGTATTAGATTAGAGCCTTTTTTGTAATAACGCCTAGAGAAGAAAGGAAAGGGTAACCATTCGTACGATCTGGTTGTCTTGACAAGGCATGTAAGTGATGCTTAGTCAGAAGGAGATGAGATTTAGAGATAAATTGTGGTTATTCATTGGGAAAGATACATTAATAAATAAAGAGTTATCATGTCTCACAGTTTGGTCAGTCTGTGAATATCCTGCAGGGTAACAGAATTAGGCTAGAGCTTAAGACTTCACCCTTGCTGCAAACATTAACAGGGATAGTGGAATTGGTATTCCTGATGCATGGATGCCCATGTCTACATGTATTATCCTTTATACATGTTGTGGTTAAATTTCATCCTTTGTTTAAATTTTTTCCTTTGTTTCAAAACAATTATCATTACCATATCCCAAAACAAAGAAATTTGTAAAAAATTAATAATATTTAAACCAAGGATAAAATTTAACAACAACATAAACACATTCAAGAACTTTTGAAAAAATTTAACAACTTCATGTTCTTTTACCCCCCATACATTCATTTTCCACCCCTCCAAACCCCACATCGGGAGGATGGACGTCTTCTGGAATAAAGGAGTGAAAGTAGTGAATGTGAGCTTGTATAGTGTGTCCGTTACACTTGTGCTAGCCTGCAGTGAAGGCTTACTTTGGGGTAAGAGAGGGTCTGGTGTGTGCAGTCGCAATCTTTGAATTTGAAATTAGAGGGAGATTGTAGAGGGTAGAAATAGGATGGACCGTCTTGATCCCCTACTACACTTCCAGATCCACACTACACTGAAAAAGTATTTAGACAACCTTACCCATATCCTGTTGCCAAAAGGACAGGATTACTTGAATTCAACAGCACTCTGAAGGCCTTATTCATATTATCATAAGTTAAAAGTTCCTCAGCTGCACCAATCACAACACAGTTAGGATCATGACAATCCAAACCTTCAAACTCTGGAATTCCACCAGGATGGATCAAAAGGAATGGGCGTAGATTGCGTTCTTCAAGTATCTTCCTTGCATTAGGAGCTGGTGCAAAAACTTCAGATGAAGAAAGATTGAAGCCAAACCCGCTAAGTTTGTTGACAAGCTGTTCTCTTGAGCACTGATCCTCATTTGTGCAAAATCGTATCTTATATCCAGCTGCTTTAAGCCTGGTTGGAAAAAGCAATGATAAAAATAGTTTGCATAAGAAATTTCTTGGGAAGGAATAATACATGACAGGGAGTACTCCTATTAATAAGCCCGGAAGATTTCCATAAATGGGCAGGAGAGATTATTGTCTCATTTAGAGGTAGGAATTAGGAGATTCTCCTACACAGGAAAAAAATAACAGATTCCCCTTTTTGGATATTTTAGGGTATTTAGAGAATACCCATAAAAATCCCATATTTGGCAACGTGAGACAAGTCCCTACCAGGGAATTCCCAACCAAGTTCCCTGATTGGGACTTGTCTCACTCTTCCAAATTTGGGATTTTTGTGGGTATTCTTTAAATACCTCAAAATATCCATAAATGGGAATCTGTTATTTTTTCCTGTGCTAGGGTGGGTGGAACAGATTAAGAGTACTTTTACCCAATGGGTATCATTTTTAGGGAGGAGTGTGAGGAGATGAGGAAGGAGAGGGCAAAATGAAGAAACAAAGAAAGCCCAGGGAGGGAAGAAGCATTCAGTAAAACATGATTTTTATCCCACATGAAAAAGGAAAAAAAAAACAGTACCTTATATTTGGCTGTCTCTTTTATAATATGGTACACTTGACCCTCCTTCGGGACAGAAGAAAGTGGCAGGTGGCAGGTTGACTGTCCACCAAAAAAGTGGCCATTTTGGAGGGGTGGCTGTTAGAGGAGGTTTGATGAGGTCTTTAAAGGGTTATATAAAGTTTGAGTCACACACTGACAGTTTTCATTAAGGGGTTTTACTTCAATTCTACAACAAGCATCCCACCCATTACATGAAAATCAACCCCTGCCCCCCACCCTGAGGTTGTAAGACGAATGGAGATGAGTTATGTCATTTAATTCACATGTGGGTCTAGTACTTTCACAAGAAATAACTGCTATTGTTCTTGAAGTCAAGAAAAGTTGCCATGGTCTCATTTTTTCACTGATAGGCCATTAGTTGATCTCGGATCAACTTTATTTCTGTAAACACGAAAACAGTTTGCGTTTGAAAAATTTTGTTAGCAGGAACTGAAAAAGCATAGTAAAATTGGGTTAAAAGTCGTCGGATGTCCCCACATTTCCAAAGCAAGGATTTCCAGCGGCGATTATGGTTACTGGAAGTTACATATCACTATAAAGCTGGAGCTGCATGTTTTTTTGGTGGTCGTCTTGAAACATGAAAAACAGTACGTTTGATTTCAACGTAAAAAGCAAACTTAAGTATGATGGTGGTTAATTCCTGGAGCCTGAGCCGCAGTGAGCCGGAGTCTTAAGTCTTAACGTAAGGCTTACTTTTCCACGGCTTCAACAGATCCCGGTATAGCCTCTCCTCCTCCTTCGCCTGAGTTGTAACGAACGCCAGATATATCAAGTAAAATTCCCCGAATCTTTCTTCTAAGCCAAGCTGCCATCTCTTCGTTTCCGCGGGACTCACGACTGTCGATCGAATGAGACCGAACTATGATCGACTAAAAAGGACTGCCGACGTTGAACCGAAAGTCAACGATCTTGTCAAACTTCGACTCACGCGAAAGAAAATTCTGGTGACCATCATGCAGGGAGCAAAGTTTCGCTTTGCAGATAAATCGCTCGTTTGTTTCGGTTTCGACCACCGAATTTACTAACTGGCTACTGAATAGTTTGTAAGGCGCATATATTTTTTCGTTTTTGGAGCGCTCTTTCCCGCCCTTTCATTAGTGAAGTCGTGTCACGCATGCATGCAAGATGCCTCTTCGAGATGCCCAAGGAAGATTTTGTGGAACCCTCCACCGAAAGCAAGCAGATAATAATTGGCAGCGTAATTACTTTGTCTTGGATGAGGACAAATGCTTACTTCGTTATTTCTCCATTATGAATGCTAAAGTAAGTGAGAATTTTCAATACTGTTTTGCTTTGTTTTTGTCATTTCGTTTCAGATTGTCTTTTATGTTCACTCAATTATCACACAATTCGAGGGGCTCATTATGTACCACTCGAATCGCAGCACTTCCGTCTTTTTAATATGTTCACGAGAACGTACTTTGATTTTATTATAAGTTTAAATTGTACAGCAAGGGGTAAAAATCGAAATTGCTGTGATTAGACTTCAATGGAGATAAGCTTACATCAGCCGGTGAAGAAGGAAATAAAATTTCCAAACTTTATTAACGCCTGTTTACGGTATTTGAACTTAAACAAATTATGCAGCTTGCAAGTTAAAAATCTTAGGTACGCTGACTATTTAATGATGTACTTGATTGTGAGGTTCTAAAAACCAACGTCTGTGTGGTAAAGTTATTTTTAGAACTAGAACTGTGCCAAGAGGTGGTTTCTATGTTTACACTGTTGCCATAAACTTCTCAAGGATTTTGCGACCTTATTNGTGGAACCCTCCACCGAAAGCAAGCAGATAATAATTGGCAGCGTAATTACTTTGTCTTGGATGAGGACAAATGCTTACTTCGTTATTTCTCCATTATGAATGCTAAAGTAAGTGAGAATTTTCAATACTGTTTTGCTTTGTTTTTGTCATTTCGTTTCAGATTGTCTTTTATGTTCACTCAATTATCACACAATTCGAGGGGCTCATTATGTACCACTCGAATCGCAGCACTTCCGTCTTTTTAATATGTTCACGAGAACGTACTTTGATTTTATTATAAGTTTAAATTGTACAGCAAGGGGTAAAAATCGAAATTGCTGTGATTAGACTTCAATGGAGATAAGCTTACATCAGCCGGTGAAGAAGGAAATAAAATTTCCAAACTTTATTAACGCCTGTTTACGGTATTTGAACTTAAACAAATTATGCAGCTTGCAAGTTAAAAATCTTAGGTACGCTGACTATTTAATGATGTACTTGATTGTGAGGTTCTAAAAACCAACGTCTGTGTGGTAAAGTTATTTTTAGAACTAGAACTGTGCCAAGAGGTGGTTTCTATGTTTACACTGTTGCCATAAACTTCTCAAGGATTTTGCGACCTTATTAAATCAGTTGCGGTTTCATATGCACTGTGAAGGTACTAGAATGTAAAAACAGCTGATTCTCAACAACAATACCAAAACTGGGTTCTTAAAAGCCACTAATAATTATTATTTTACTTATTATTTTATTGCACTGTAACTGATTGAAACAGGAAACATGAAATTCTACCCACTGGGCCACTGGGTCAGCTTGCCTCCTCATATAAACACCATGAACATTGCATACACCAGCACTTGTGGGATAAATAATGAGAACTGAGAACTCTGCCATTATCGACATAGCCTTAGATAGCTAAACATTGTTAGCTACATGTATTTTGCTGCAATCAATAAAAACATGCCCTTCAAGAGCTTTGAAGGAACATAGAAAGGAGGCAAAAACTTTCACTGTACACAAAGCTAATTAGTTCAGCTTGATAAGTCTTTAACGTTGTTTATGAATGCTATGTTTTATCAGGAAGAAGAACTGGACTGGGATGATTATGATGGAGAAATTAACATCCGGCTCATAACCAAGGTTTTAATATACATTTCCATAATTGTGAAGATTTGTTATAAACAGACTGTGTTGTAAGCTCTAGGGGTTGTGCATTATTTTCAAAGTTTAGTATGCAGTAAAAATAACAGCAATGTTTATTTGTACTGTGGGTTATAAATAAACAACTAAATATAGCATGTAAATTTAAAATACATTATTAATTTTTCGTAAATCCCAGTGATTTTGTTTCCTCTGTGTCCTGCGTCCCTGACGCATAAAAATCCCCAGAGACACAAAATAATTCAAGGCATGCATCCCACAGGACGCAAAGAATGATCGATCAACGTGAACATTTTTTGGTAGAACATCCTGTTCGTGTGATTTCTGTGGCTGTTACTAAGTTTAAAGATACGTATTTTTTTAGCCTTTTTGTGCTTTTTATATATACCGGGTAGAAGGGCTACATTTTAATTTCAGTAAACTGTAATGAAGAGTTTTGGCATCTGTCTCCAGATTAACTGTCTGGTTACATAATGGCCCTGAAGCATTTTCAATTTGGGACTCCTTGTTTTTTTGAACTGGGACTCATTGGTTATGGACAGGGACTCATGATTTTTCACAAGATGAGTCCCAGGACTCACCATAACTATTTGTAACAAAATAACAGAAATCCACCATTTTTTTCATTATTTTTTATAATATATTTATTTTCCTAGCTTTCACAGTTTCAGCCATTTTTGCATAAAATGTGCTGTGTTGAGCATGTATTTTTTCAGTGTGGTTCCAGAAAATATCAATACCCACCTCCATGAAGGCTCATATTAAATTTGAAGGGAGAGAGGGGTATTTTTAAAAGCTAAATTTTGAAAAGGAAAGAACGAGGATTAACTGGAGTTTCCAGAGGGGTGGGGTTGTTTAAAGCAAAAAACACCTGGGGGTTAGAGTATGGAATTAGTTACTGAAACAACACAAAAATATTAGCATCGTTTCCTTCTGTGAAATTCTTACCTTCTGTCAGACTATTATCACCTTCATCTTGCAGTCTAGGTAGATCTCCAGTAATAACCTATCAAAAACCTTTCTTACTTTGATTTATTTTTAGATTGAGGATAAATCAAAGAGTGATGATAAGTCAATACCTGATGGATGTATTATTGGTAAGTGTAAAGAGTATTAAGATGTGATAAATTTCACTATAAGAGCATTTTTTGTGAATCTATAATGTCACAAACTGCTGTCAAAAAAAGTTGAAGGAAGCCACATCCAACTCAACTGATACATATTGTCCCTATATCAAGGCAAGGCACTTACATTTTCTCTGGTCACTTACTATATCAAGAATATTGACATATTATTGTTGACCTTTTCACTCAATTACCTGCCAACAGATTTAGAAGTCAAGAAATATTATTGTTTTTCTACATTTTAGTGAATTGTGCATGCCTGGTGAATGGCCATATGACTGAACTTTCTTGTAAATGAGTAAAGGAGATATTTTTAAACAAGTTGGACCCCCCCTCCCGTGTTGCAAAAAGTCTGGGTGTAGGATTTGTCACCTTTTTTCACTGTCATAGTAACCACAGATTTTGTCTTCATGCCATGCTGATATTCTTGTAGCATCTTGGGGCATAATTTGCAGACAGTCAATCTTCCATAGGTCTTGAGCAAGGCACTTACATTTTCTCTGGTCACTTACTATAACAAGAATATTGACATATTATTGTTGACCTTTTCACTCAATTACCTGTCAACAGATTTAGAAGTCAAGAAATATTATTGTTTTTCTACATTTTAGTGAATTGTGCATGCCTGGTGAATGGCCATATGACTGAACTTTCTTGTAAATTAGTAAAGGAGATATTTTTAAACAAGTTGGACCCCCCCTCCCGTGTTGCAAAAAGTCTGGGTGTAGGATTTGTCACCTTTTTTCACTGTCATAGTAACCACAGATTTTGTCTTCATGCCATGCTGATATTCTTGTAGCATCTTGGGGCATAATTTGCAGACAGTCAATCAATAGGTCTTGAGCAAGTCCTTTGGTCTGTTTAAAGTAGGTAACCTGTCTTGTAAGTCCCTTTTGTCTAGTAAGGCTGTTTTTTAGCTAGGTCAAAATTTTTTACCCCTCCCACCAACCCTTTGGTGACACATAACTCTCTCTTCTATCTATGTCTGTGACCCTCTGCCTTTGCAAAAACTCTTCCCTTAACCAGGGTTCTATCTAGGGTATTTGAGGGGTAGAAGCTTCCCCCCACAAAAAAAATGCCCAGCAGCTTCTCCTGAAAAAAATTAATGTTGTTATCATTACAGTGTATAAGTAACTATATCGGAAAAATCATCCAGACGCGACGAGGTCAGTGCGCACACTGGAATGTTTCTCAAAATTGTGTCTCAAAATGCACAAGATTGCATCTCAGCGCATATTCATTTAAAAAAATTTATGGGAGGGGGAGGGGGCATGGCCCCATGTCCCCCTAGGAAGCTCGTGGCCTTCAGCCACTTGGGACTTCTTCCCCAAAAGATAAATCCTAGATAGAACCCTGTTAACTAATAGTCCCACAAAGGCAGTAAGTGGCTGTTTGACAGTGGAAGTGTTAGACCATTATTTTCTTTACTGTACTACAAGCTCCTTCTCTACCTCTCCATGTTGTTAGTTTTTACCATCACCCACGGTGAAATGTAGTTTTATACTGTCCCTTAATTCTTTTTTCTTGTTCCTGTGGCCCATTCCTAATGGTTTCTGAAATCAACTTTCACTTCTTACAGTACATAAATTATAGAGCTCTTCTGTCCCATGTGATAAGTACAAATGTTCTGTTAAAGTACTTAAGATAATGCTAATTCTTGATTTAATAATAGAAATTCAAACATGCAATGAGAGATGTTATGTACGAGCAGACACAAAGGAGGGAGCAGAGGAATGGATAAGAACATTGCGCAAAGCAGCTGTGAGTTTAATTGACATGCAATTATGTACTGGACAGGTGTTAAATGAGGCCCTGTTACCAGCTAAAATTCTAACAGGCGACATGGCCTTGAAACAGCGACATAAGACAGCAGAAATGGCAACAAATGACACAATGATGAGCTGAAACTGCGACAGCGATATGGATTTCTCCTCAAATATATGCAAAATCACAGGTTTTGACATTCAGATGAGGGACATACGTCTCCCCCGCCCCCCTCCTATGAGGACCTTTTAAATGTGATTGTGATGATATTAAATCATTTTTAGCTGATTTGGCTGAGATAATGGAAAAGAAAGGTGAAGCCTCAAAGTGATTTTGTTTGCCTTTCACATACTGGTATTATGATTTTCTTCTGTCATTGCCACAAAAAATATTTGTTTTCTAATTTGCAATCATTTGCAGGTTGTTGAAGTGTTGGGAGACAAAGAAGATGATAGGCCCCCGCCCCCCCCTCCCCCACCCATAATAAAATAAAGAACCAAAAAGCAAGGAAAAAGCTAACCTCTAGCCATCTTGACCAAACAAAACTTGCGTGGCCAATAAAAGATTTGTGATATAAATCGTTTTATCTTTTCTCCTTTTCTCATGACAACAATTAAACTATAGCCCACCAGGAAACCAGATTCACTTCATCTTACCTGCTGACAGAGCCAGCAAAAACAAGTAATGTTACTAATATGTTACTTTATGTTATGTTATTGTTCATTGTGTAGCTCAATTGTGTCTGGTAAATTTTGCAGGTGAATCCATCCAAAAGGCAGGAAAGAAGAACAGAAGAAGCAGAAACAGTGAACCCTTCTGGGGAGGATCAGGCCAAGGAAAGTACTGATGATAGTAAAACAGAGCATGTGTGCTATGAAACAAAAATCATTGGAGGTGTGGTTGTGAGAACACCTGTGACTAAGGTTAGTTAAAAATTGAAATGTTATTGGATTCACATTTTTGTAGTCCCATACAAGATTGTGGTGCTGCATCTGGAGTGGGGAGGTGAATCAGTTGTAAGTTTTACCTTAATTTGACGTGGTATTTACATTTATTTGTTGCTTTTCAGTCATGAATGAAAGTGTGAGGTATTTTTCTTTCCCAAATAACATGCGTCATTATATTGTTTGGTAACAGGTAACAGATTCGGATGGTGAAAGTCAGTCCACTGATTCATTGACGCGTTCAGGATCTGCTGGTGCAACCAGTACAATAAAACCCATTAAGGAGGGATATCTGGTCAAGAAGGGTGCTGTGGTGTGTTTGAGACAACTCTTATTTACAAATTTGATAACTGTTGAAATTCTTGAAGATTCTCATTGGTCAAGATGAAATGGCACAATGGTAGTGCAACGCCTTCTTTCCCTGTCTTTCTATGTGCATGTCAGGATGTTTTGAGAAACTTTGTTGAAATTAACATCCAAAAAATGTAAATTTGTTCAAACCAGCCTCAATGATAATGCAATTTCCCACTGCTGTTACATACTTATAGAGAATAGAAATGCATCAAAATCTTAATGTATACATTGCAATAAAATCACTCCCATCCACCCCCACGCCCTCCCCCTTGCCTCTTCTTAAATTTCATTTGAGTATCAAACTTTTTTTGATAGCGTAAAATTAACGACCTGAAAAAATGTAGACCTTATGCAAATATTTTTAACTTGTAAAGTGCAAACAGAATCATAATTTGGCCATTTTCTTTTAAGTCTGCAGCATTAAATATTTTGTTCCTTTGTAGGTTAAAAATTGGAAAAAGAGATATTTCAAGCTGGATTTTCTAAAACTGGCATACTACGAGAAAGAAACAGTAAGTGGTTTATAAGCTTAAGTCAGATATTATGCAGTTCTTTAATGAGTTCCTATTGGGAACATGCTGGTTAAAGGGAAAGAGTATGTATAACCTCATCTAAAGAACGAGACATTTTATGCTTTCCAGTCCATGGTTGAAGAAATTAGCATATCACATTTATTTTGTTTCTCGCAAGGTGTAAAGTCGTGCCTGAATTTGCAAAATAACACAGGCAAATTTCTATCGGTCACATTAAATGTCGTTTTTATTTTGTTTCCTTCATTAGGATAAAGAACCTATCAAAGTGATTTACTCATCAGACATCAAGGATGCAAGGGAAGCTCTTGGGTAAAATCTCAATTATTCAATTGTGAACCTGTAAACTGTAAATTGTAATTTGTTTACTCAAGAATCACGTAGGAGTTCTTGTTAACTAGTTTAAAAGTGTCCGTGCATTCCAGATTGAATTGGAATTTGGAAGTATTGGTTGAGTCTTGGTTTTTGAGGAGAGGGTTAGGGTTTGAGAGAACCGGAGTTCTCAAAGAAAAACCTCTGGGAGCAAGGGAGAGAACCCAGTCCACACTTGTGGGAGGCGAGTTCTCTCACCTCAGCATCACCCTTCCTCCCCAAAGGTTCACAATTGTAAAGACACCAAGCTAAACTAACGTTATTTAGAGAGGATGTTTTTTTATTGTTCTAAGAACTGAACATCAAGATAAAATAGGCCTTTAGCATTAGTTGATCACGTAAACATCATCCTTGGAGACCCAGGGGCAGCTAGTCGGGATGATAGAATGTTCGTGGTGAAAGTTAACTTTATAGCTTTCACCACGAACATTCTATCATTCTGACTAGCTGCGCCTGGGTCTCCGAGGATGATGTTTACCGAAAGTTGATCACGTGATCAACTAATGCAAAAGGCCTGAACACTGGTATTAGATTTTGAAGAGAGTGAAAAGAGAGGTACCATGAAAACAAACGATACCAGGAGGACCATCCAAACAGTTTAAGGCAGCCTTATTTCATAAGTTTACTGTATCTCATTACAGCTTGTCTCAGCTAGATTCAGTGATCAGAAGAAATGATTGATCCCGAATGTGTCATTTGTTATGCCACAAAATAATTATCGGGTATTACCAGAATGAGATTACATGTCAGTCATCATATGTCATCCAGCGTTTTATTTTCATTATAGTGTTGACAACAACAGGGAGTATTTATTTGAAGTGGTTACGTCAACAAGAACATTCTTATTTCAGGTAATTATCCTGGCGGGTCTTAAATTAATCGTAAGAAATAATGGGAAGGCGAATACCCTACTGTAAACTGTTACTTATAAGCCCTGGGCTTATAAATCTTCCTAAGGTTAAAGGGGTCTGTGAGAGCTTATAAATGGAGGGGTTTATCTTTAAGGGGGCTCATAACCGGAAAAGAAAAAGCCCTTGTAAACAAGAACAAGCCATAGCAGTGCTGATAAAAATACTTTTTGCATTTAATGGTTTTTATTTTAAGCTTCAAAATGTCATCTGCCGTTCATCTTCTATTAAGCCCCCCTTTTCAGAGTAAGAAGGATACAGATATAGGTTTGACGGCAAACGAAATTTCGTTGTTTATTTATAGGGAAGTACAGAAGAAGAAATGAAGTCTTGGATTGATGCAATTTCTAAATTTGCATCTCTTAGAGGCCGATCCTCAAGTGAACCGGTATGATTCTATTTATTATTTACCTGTACTTGGTTGTTCGCGATTTTGCTTTGCCGATAAGACCGGTTTTTTGACAACAAATGTTTCAATGAGCATTTTCCAAGAAAAATTGAAGACAGTGCTTCTCTTAAGTTTTTTTTGACGGGGAAAGGTGTTGGGGGGAGGGGGGGGGGGGGGGCAAAAAAAGCCCCCCCCGAAAAAGAAAAAAGAGGGGTTTACCCTCGTTTTGGTGTTTTGGACCCCGAGTTTTTAAAAAGGGTTTTTTAAAGTGTGTGGGGTATTTTTTATTTTATTTTGTTTTTGGTGTCTTTTTTTGTGAAC